TTCACTTTATTTTTGAAAGTGAGGTCTCTCATCTTTCTTCATCTCACCAATGAGCCCCAGGTTCCACCTGTCACTGACTCTGCAGCAACAGAATGACAGCAGTATGTGATCGTGCGCAGTTTTTGTGGTTGTGGTTATGTTATTTGTGTTTTTACATGGGGTGTAGGAACTGAAGTTCTTGGGGGTGTTTAGAATTATGTCTCTGTTCTGAGCTGTTTTGTCTAGATGCATTTTCTTGCATTTCCATTGACTGATGCATTACAGATTAAGCATAAGGAATTCCTGCTTGATGCTGAACGACATGGCTGGCATGGTTTCTTCCTATGGACTGGGGTGGGCAGTATGGCTGCCTCCCTCCACCTGTCCTCATGAACGTACCAGGCTTTCAGGGATTCTTGCGGACACAGAGGGAGGTTTGGGATTCTTCAGTTGCTGCTTACAGGCTGCCAGGGCCTCTGAGAACCTCTTGGAACCATGAACAAAAGCCGGCATTTCTGTGCTCCCTATCCCACGGTGACTTCACGGAGCTTTCACCAGAATGGCTTGAGACCAACACAGATGGTGAACACTGTTGTAGTCTGAGCATATCTGCCTTACCACACAGAGGGTGACTGTCACATAGAGGAAAGCGGATGTTAGTTAAAAAAAATAGGTTGAAGGTTGATAGACTTGTGGGGTGGTGGGCTGATGGAATTGTTAAAGGGGGTACATCCTCTATCAGCTATAATAGGGTAACTGGGTGGGGATTAATTGTATGCCTCCTGTAAAGTTTACAAAAAGGAAGTCAAGGAGCTAGTAGAAGAGAAGGAAGAGGCACGGAAATATCCTGGGCAAAACTCAACAATAGTAGCTTTTGATTTGCTGTAATGGCGGAAAATAGAATAAAATAAAAAGCTTGTCCCCAGCCGGATACTGAGATGGTCTGCTGAAACCCCAGCCCATTTCTTAATGCACACAGCGCCCTGAGCAGACACACATTCCCCTCACCCGCTGCCCGTCTCCTCCAACTGCCCATGCCTCCGAATGTGAGGTGTGGGGTGCTGCTCGCCTGCCCCCCAGAATTCAACAGAGAGGCTTTCCCTTGGGCCTCCTTGTAGGGCAGGGTGCATGCTGTATCTCTACATGTTTAGACCCTCACACAACTGGTGCAGGCAGCATCAAGAGTGGTGTGAGCTGCTGTCCTAGTGTCCCTCCCCTCCCTCCCCTTCCTCTCTCCTCCCTTCTCTCCCCTTCCCTTCCCATTCTCCCTCCCTCTCTCCCCTCCCTTCTCTCTCCCTTTCCTTTTCTCTCTGTTTCGTCCCTGTCCGGGACACCGGACCTAGGCGCTTTCCCTTGTCAGCACAGCTGTTTGGTGGCTGCTGCTGCTGTCTTCAGTCTTGTCTGCTCTTCTTGCCCCTTTGTCGCCGCTGACTTTGGTCACTCTTTGGCTGGCCTAGACCAGGGAAGGCGATGACCATGAGCCACGTCTTTCTGCACAGCGGCCCCCTTCCCAGCACTGCTGAGAAGCCTTCCTTTGGCACCACAGACACTGTGTAATTGTAGGTTTTGGTTTTGGCTTGGTTTTGAGACAGGGCCTCGTATAGCTCGTGCGAGTCATGATCTCCCTGTATAACCAAGGATGATTTTGAACCCTCCTGCGTCCACCTCCAGGATGCTGGGCATGTACCGGTTTGTTGTGTTTATGTGCTGTTGGGGGAGGGAGGGACCAGAACTTGTGCATGCTGCCAACTGAGTTACATACTTAGCCCCTTGTTTCGAATTTGTTGTGCATTCCAAACCCCCCTACCCCCCAATTAAGTCTAGCTCAGGGTGCTTGGTCTCCACTCCTCATTAGAATCACCTGCAGAGCTTCAAAAAAAAAATCCTAAGACCTAGGTCTGAAGGTATGGCTTAGTGTTTAAGACTGCATAGTTTGATTGCAGGGACTGGAGTTCAGTTCCCAGAACTCGTACCTGGGATCTCACAACCACCTGTAACTCAGTCTCCAGAGGGGTTCCAACTCAACTCCTCTGGTTTCCAAGGGCACCCACAGTCACATGAGCGTAGAGACTTTTCCATTGCTGTGACCAAACACCATGACCACGGCAACTTATAAAAGAAAGAGTTTAATCGGGCTTGTGGTTTTAGAGGGTCAGAGTCCGTGGTGATGGAGCAAGGACCTGGTGGCAGGAACAGCTGAGAGCTCACATCTTGATCCACAACTAGGAGGCAGAGAAAACCACTCTGGGCATGGTGCTAGTCTTTTTAAACCTCCACTGGCCCCTCCTCCTCCAGACTGGACTGCACCTCCCAAACCTTCCCAGCTTCTCCAACTGGGGACCAAGTGTTCAAATGCATGAGCCTGTGGGGGCTACTCTCATTCCACCCACCACACTTAACACATAAATAAAACAAGTCTTCAAGAAAAACAAACAAAAAACACCCGAACCCAAAGCCCAGTCTACACTTCAGGGCTATTCAATCAGGACACCCGGAAGTCTCCTAAGGCTTTGCTATCTCTCCAACTGCTCGAGTGTAGATACTGCCCTGTCCACAAAGGTAAAGCTGGTAGCCGCCCTAAGATCTTAAAATGCTAGGCTAAATTCCACCTCCTAGAGATTTGACTACATGATGAGGAGACCGCCGAAGCTCCCTAGTCGGCAGATGATGTTTAGAACACAGCCAATACCAAGAAGGAAAAAAAAAAAGAACCCTGTATTTCTTTCTTTTATTATCTTATAGGGAAATCTAAGTGGTTGAATGAATTGTTTCATAAATGGATCCAAACATAACCATTGCTGGAAAAAGTATATCCATTGTTGTGTTGGTACCAAATTTAAACAAGGCTCACGGCCCCTTGATGCCTATATTTTTAGCTAAGCAGAACAGTCTGGAAGACATTGAGGATTTCAAAATAGTTTCTTACCTAAAAATATACTTCCTGAAATGAACTAGAGGCCTGAAAGGGATGAATGGCTTTACTTTTTTTTTTTCTTCTATGTTTACGGTCACCACAAGAAAGCAGATCTTAAATATATAAGCTTGTATTTTTAGAGACCCAGGAAGCAGGTGCTGGGCCCAAGCAACAAAGGAGGTCACAGGGTGAATTGTTGAGGACAGAAATCTAAAGTTCTCATCAAGGGGAGCGACTGGGAGGAACTGAAGCTGATACCCCCCAAGGCAGGACGAGCTAGCACAAGGAGAGTACACTGCCCTTCTCAGGCCTCTCCCAGAGAACCTCTTGGAGAAGTTCCTCCCAGTTTCCCCGGGGCCAGCATCTGCCCCACAGTCACTTGCAACCCAAAGGTCTAATCTTTGTGCAGCAGAGAACACGAATTGACCCCCGCCCCGTTTGGTTGAGTTCATAACAGCGTTGTCTTATTCCATCAACTCTGATTAACAAGCTCTACTCCTCTCCATTGCACGGCTGCGCACAAATGTGACAGCTGCCTTCCATGCCTACTGCCATGCCTTCCTCACCGTGGTGGACTGTCCCCTCAAACTACGCGCCAAGTCAACCCTTCCTTCTTTAAGTTGCTACTTGTCAAGTATTTGGCTAGCAATGAGAAAAGGAACCAATACAGACGCTGTGCAGATGACAAGTGCTCAGCGACACACCAGAGACACCGTGTTTAGACAAGGCAGACGGGGGCTCCCGGAACTTCATGTTGGTGGCTAGGTTATAGGGAAGTGTGTGGCCCAATAGCTTGGCCAACAATGAGACAGAATCCTGTGGTAGTTACTAGCTGGTCACTTTAGGATGAAGGGTATCCTTTAATCAGAAACCAAAAGTGTGACATAGGTGATAGAAATAGACACTAAAAATCGCGCTAATGTGTTCCTAGCGGCTGCCATACCCTCCACTACGAGGAGTAAGGGGTCAGAGAGGGGCAGCGTGAGGGGATGTGGTCAGAGAGGTGTCGGGCCTTGAGATGTGGTTGGTTTTCCACACAGAGGCAGAGGGCAGTGGCGGAACACAGGAGGGAGTGGGCCAGGTCTGGGGAGGGACATAAGACTGGCCATCTTGTTCCACACCTGAGAGAGCCGTCAGGGCCTTTGCACAAGGGATGGTTCCACTGCTGCCCCCTGTCCCGGCTCCACTGACACTAGGTGGAAAACTGACTCTACCTCAAGGACCTGCTAGTGGTCTGCCACCTCTCTGGCCACGCCCCCCACACCGCAGCCACCCCACCCTCCCCACCTTCTCTTTCTCTCGCTTGGAGGATATGTCAGGGTAGAAACACATCAGGTCAGTCCGTAATGTCTATCGCTACCGCTTCACGCTTCACTTTGGTAGTGCCCCGCCCCTGCCCCGCCCCACCCCGCCCCCTTGGGTGACTCTGCCTCCATCTTATGGGCCCACCTCCGCTTTGTCCCCCTTTCCCTGATCTGCTTCATTGGTTTTATTTAGTTAGTTATTTTAGACAAGGTCTCGTGTAGCCTGGAACGGCTTCAACCTCACTACACGGCAGAGGATAACCTTGAACTCCTGACCTTCGGTCCTCTGCTTCCTAAGTGTGTGGGTCACAGGCGTGCACCACCATGCTGAGTTCACGCAGTGCTGAGGATGGAACTTTGATAGTCGGGCAGATACTCTTGAGTTTCCTGATATTCGGGTAGATTCTCTAGGGACTGAGCAACACCAACCTTTCTTCAGAGCAGTGGGCCAACCTGAGACTCTGTTGACAGATTTTGGTGGAAAGCATCCTTCATGCCCATCACGGACAAAGCCCAGAAGCTTCTATGCACCCTCATCATGCAATGCATGTCACTCCTTGTATGAATCTTGGAATTCTGATATGGGATTTTCTGTTTTTTTATTAACCTTCCTCCATAGTCTCTCTCTTTTACTTATTATGGAGGGTAGACGCACTCACCTTGTCGTTTGTGTGGCGGTCAGAGGACACAGGTCAGGAGTGGCTTCTCTCTTTCTCGCATGGGACCGACCCTGGGATCTAACTGGGGCCATCAGGCTGGTGTGGAGTGGAATAACCCTCGGCTCTTTCTTTCTCTCGCCTCAGTTAACAGTGACATGATGACCAGTGACAACATCGGTGCAGTCAAGCTTCCACAGCTGTGTAAGTTTTGTGACGTGAGGTCGTCTACTTGCGACAACCAGAAGTCCTGCATGAGCAACTGCAGCATCACGGCCATCTGTGAGAAGCCACACGAAGTCTGCGTGGCTGTGTGGTAAGGGGGCCTTTGAAGAAAGGGGGGGTTCTTGCTTCTTGTGTCACTTTACGCGATGCTGTGACAAAACACCTGGCCAGGCAGCTTCAGGAAGAAGGGTTTTGTTCTGGCTAACAGTCTGAGAGGGAGCTAGCCCATCATGGCAGAGGAGACACGGCAGTCACATGGTGTCAGCATTTAGGGAGCAGAGCGTGAACCAGCTGGAAATCAAGTGCTCGTACACCTGGCCTGCTGGGCACATTTCACATTCCAATCATAGCACTTCGTTTTCCATCTTTGTAAGCCATGCGCGCTCACGGCAAGGGTCACTGTTTGTGTTCCTTAAATACAGATACCAGTGTTCACTTCTCCCCTCCACCGATTATTAAATCTGATTGCCAGAGTATTTCTTATTACGATTTGGATGTGAAATGCGCCCCCACCCCGGAGGGTCATTCCTACATTTGAACATTTAGCCCCCAGGTGGCTGAGTTCCCTGCTCAGCACCCACATGGCAGCCCAGAACCTCATATAATTCCATTCTAAGGGATCTGATGCCCTCGTTGGCCTCCTTCAGGACTGAGCATGTACGTGGTGCACACACAGGCACCCACAGGTACACGTAAAGTAAATACATTGGTATATTTAAACAAATATAAAGTACATTAGGGGTATATATTTTCCAAAGTATATACCATGCCATTTATCCTTTGCTCTCTAGGCACAATTAGTCTCCAAGAATGTGGGTGACAAGAGATAATCCATTTCCTATGGCATCAGCTATTCCTACTTGCCATTCTGTCCATTGTTTTCTCCTCAACCTCTTTCTCAAATTCAGGAACTTACATTTCTTTCGTTAGGATCTTTCTTTCCATGCTGTTTTGGGAGACTTAAAATGACCCAGGTCCCCAGGAGCCCTCTTTTCCACACCGTTTCTGTGTAAAATTCCAGTAAGGCTCATGCCTGCATTTTCAGATAGAGATCTCATGTATAACCGTAAGGAGGCTCTGAGGTGAGCAGAAGATGAAGGGGGATAAGCAAGGTTGATGCAGGAGAGCATGGGACAGTTGAGGGTGTTGGAGAGCAAGAAGCGATTGCTGCTGGGGCAACAACTTCCGAGCAAAGTGCAGCCTTGGTTGTTCTGTCCCGACACTCTTCATTCATCTCCCCTCCTTCTGTCTCTCTCTTCCCCTCCGCACCACAGGAGGAAGAACGATGAGAACATCACACTGGAGACCGTTTGCCACGACCCCAAGCTCACCTACCACGGCTTTCCCGTGGAGGACGCCACTTCTCCCAAGTGTATCATGAAGGAAAAGAAGAGGGCCGGGGAGACTTTCTTCATGTGTGCCTGCAACATGGAGGAGTGCAATGACCACATCATCTTTTCAGAAGGTGAGTGTCCTCTCTGGCTGCGGTCCTCCGCATGCACAGGGAGCCTGCTGTGCAGAGCACTGGTGCATGCTGGGAGGAGATGTGGCCATTCCCTTGGAGGACAGAGGTACTCAGGAAGCAGTGGGGTCCATGCTGGCCCTCCTCAAATTTGACTCCCCAGGGTTCATGTTGGTACCTGGCATTGACGAGTAGTTTCTTTCTCCAAGAGCAGTGGATGGATGGATGGATGGACGGATGGACGGATGAAGGGACAGACAGCAGACAGTAGAATGGACAGACAGACAGGCATATTGGCAGGAGTTTTTCACCTGTCTACCTGTTGCATGCCAGACTCTTCAGAAAAAGGGACAGATTACAGAAAGACCTTGTCATCCATTCGTAAATCCATCCAGGCATTCCCAACCTGCAGCCTGCAGGATAGCTATGAATGCAGACCAAAGCAAGATCATGAACTTACTCAAAACTTTGTAGGGTGTGTTTTAGTGATTTGTTTATTATTTTATTTTTGGTGTGATTGATCGTGTGGTTCTCCAGCATGAGCTTTGTAGGTGACAGGCTGGAAGCGTTAAAAAGTTGGTTTCTTTGCCATGCCACCATCACTCAGGAAGACAGGTTTTGTGCAATGCCTGGTGGTGGCTTCAGTGACTCCTGCACTGGCCAAGGAAAAGGAGGATGAGAGAGTGTCAAAAACAGAGGGTCACTCGCCTGAACCTGCCGAGTCCTCACAGCTGTCCCTGAACACATCTCCCTTCCCGTCTCTGGAGATCTCTTTAGCTAAGACCTGAGAACCTACCCAGTACTCATCCAAATTCAGAGTGCAGAGTAGAAGAGGGAGCGTTGTGATGGGCAGGTGGCAGCCGTCCACCAGGCAGGACGTGGTGGGTTCCAGGACTGCAGTGTGGTTTGGGGTGTAGGAAAGGAAAATGTGTTCAAGAGCAGTCTTGGGACCAGGAGATGGCACGCCAACTTTGCAGGACATTTATCCATTTTGTTTTCATTTTTTCAGTATGTGTACACGCGGGGTCTGTGTGCATGTGTTTATGCACACCTATACGTGTGTGCACATGTGTGTGCACATGCATACAGAGGCCCAAGGTTGACACTGATTGTCTTTCTCTATTGCTTTCTGCTTGGTATGCTGAGGCTGACTCTCCCTGAACTCTGAAAAAGATGGGCTCACCATCTTTCTCTGAGGATTCCTGGCTCTGCTTCCAGAGTGGTGGGATTCCCAGAGGGTTGCCACACCCTCCCCAGCTGGCTTTGTGTGTGTTCAGGGATCTGAACTCTGGTCCTTATGCTTTGAGTGCAGCAAGCACTTCAGCCCTGAGGCATCTCTCTATGCCCGAGCAAGACACCTACTGATCTCTGTCTGAACTGCTAGGACCCAAAGAGTTCCTTGTCTACTCCTCTCTTTGTTGACTTCATTAGTTCATTTCCTACCATCTCCTTTTCTTCCTTCCTCCCTACCTAGATAAAGTCTTATGTACCCCAGGCTGGTTTTGAATTCACTATATAGCAGAAAATGACCTTGAACTCCTGATCCCTTCAGAAGTGCCTGGACCACAGGCAGTCACCATACCCACCCAGCTCTTACAAGTGTATTCGTGGTCTGAGGTCTGGTCTTTAAGCTTGCATGGCAAGCATTGTATCACTGAGCCACCTCCCAGCCCAGCCTTGCTTTTGAGACCAGGTCTCTTGATGGCCCAGAACTCACCATGGAGGTTGGGCTGCACACTGAGCCCCAGGGATCCCTCTGCCATTGCTTCCCTGGTGCTAGAATGGTCAGAGTGCTGTCTGGCTTCAGGTCTTTTCTGGCATCTGGGTTCTCCAGCTGAGCTCTGGCCAGGCCCTGTGAACAGCATCCCGATGTCTAGGTACCACACCACAGGCACACTGGGAAGGCTCGTTTTGTTTTAATATGAGCCTCTTTCAGTCTCTCTTTTCTCCCCACATACCTTCCCCAGTGAAAGGGAGCATACTGAATTTCGGATTTCTAATCAAAGCTAACCACAGCCCCTATGTTGCTGGATAGTATTACAAGTTAGATGGTTGTTCCTGTTTTTACTCGGGATCACAGCAGAAAGCGACTAAATAAGAGTGGAAGGGCTTGCAGTGCCTTTCAGATCAGTGGCTGGGATGATCATGCTCTGGGCCAGTCCCTTCTGCTTCTTTATTTCCACAGGAAGCTTGCTCGGGGCTGCATGGCCTTATCTCTGCTTGGCTATGCCATGCTTTTGGATTAGTGCTATGGTGGCATCTCAGGGTGACTGTCAATACTCCAGAGTCCCTGGTAGGTGCACAGAGTCCATCTATGTAAACACAGCCATCCTAGTTAGGTTTCTATTGCTATGGCAAAGGCCATGACCAAAAGCAACTTGGGGAGGAAAGGGTTTATTTGTATTCACTTCTCATCATTAATTCATCACTATGGGAAGCCAGGGCAGGAACCTCAAAGCAGGAACTGAGGCAAAAGCCCCAAAGGAATGCTTCTGTGTGTCTTGTTCTCCAAGTGCGTGCTCAGTCTGATAAATGCGAAAGCGCAGCGCGCGCGCGCGCGCGCACACACACACACACACACACACACACACACACACACATACACACACACACCCAGGACTGCCAGGGGTGGCATTGCCCGCCATAGGCTGGGCCCTCCACATTAATAATTAGTTAAGACCTGCCCACAGGCCAGTCTGATGGAAGTAATTCTTCATTTGAAGTCCCTTCTTTCCAGATGCCTCTTGCACGTGTTAAGTTGACCAAATAAAAAACAAAAAATAATAATAATCGCAAAACAACCCCCCCCCAAACACATCCAACACAGCATCTCTCGATCCAAAGAGAATGAGACTGTTCCGAGGCAAGCAGGAGTTGGTCTGGGAACACAGATTCAGGTCTGCCTGGAGAATATGTTCCACAGTGGATATAGTTACAACAACCTTTTATAGCTATAGCACCAAAGGCGGCTAGCTATAGAGACATTTAGTAAATATATTGTTGGGGGCACCAGGCTCCCCGTGATGTAATGCTCTATTTGATGTCATTCTTAGCTCTGGCCTGGTGAACACCAGGGGTCTGCTAGTAACTTAGCTCATTCCAAAAGTCTCACCTGACCCTCAAAGGGTGTGAAGTCAGATCCTGAGGCGGGTGACAAACACTGACTAAAGGGGAATAGAGACAGCCCGAGATAATTTTCTATCTGTAGCAGTCTAACTCAACCATCAGTAAGATCTGGTGGACTAATCAGTGGCCCTTCTGATCTGTAGTACAGCGGTAGCTTTTCTAGAAAGGCCAGCTAACATGCCTGCCTTACCCATACCTCCCTGGTAAGGAGCATGCTTCTGAGTGGGACAGCCCAGCCGCGGGCCTCCAGCTTTGCTTCTGAATGGGGCAGAATAGCCAGCCGTGTGCCACCAGCATCTGCTGCATCACATGGCCTTGGGGACACTGAGATGTCAGGAACCTTTAGGGATGGCGGTGGGGATGGTCAGGGAAATGTTGACCCAGCGGTTGAGTGTTTGCTGCTATTGCAGAGGGCTGGAGTTCTGTTCCCAGTACCCAGGCCTGGTGGCTCATAACCATCTGTAATTACAGCCTGCCCACCTTGCTGGGGTCATAGATGCACACGTCCACACCTAGACTCTGTGTAGATCGAAACCCAGGTCCTCATGCTTGCACAGCAAGCAAGTTTACTCACTCATCCATCTCCTAGCCCTACCTTATGGTATTTCAATAGACATAGTAATTGTATGTATTTGGGGGTCAATGTGATGCTTTGGGTACAATGTGACATTATATTACAATGTAACATTTAAGTACATGTGTAACCATCTTTAGTACAATTGATATGTCACTTACCTCAAACATTTACATTTATCATTTGTTGTGTGTAAACTTTAGTTACTATTTGAAATATTCAATTAGTTTTTGTCAGCCTGGTGCCTCTACTGTGCTGTAGAACATTAGACACCGCTCTTCACCCCATTGCACTCCTGTACTGTTAGCTGGTCTCTCCACTCCCTTCCCAAGCTCCAGTGTCTGCTACTGTGCTCTCTACCACTGAGACATTAACCTTTTAGTTTCCAGGGGGAGGAATGCGCAATATCCATCCGTCTGTGTCTGCCTTATTTCACTTCCCATATTTTTAGCATGATTCGCACTACTGAAGATGGGAGAATTTCATTTTTAATAACTGAATAGTGTTCTGCCCCAAGTGTCCATGTGCGTGTGTGCATATTGTTGCATAACTTTTCCTGGTGAGAGGAAAAGGCATCAACTACAGACTCAAGTTCAACTTGGCGAAGCAGTGAGTTTACCAGGCTTAATTACAGAGCATGAGTGAGGGGGAACTTACAGGATCATGGGTGACCTCCAAAGCAAAACAATAACTCCAAAATCTCTCCAGAGCATGGATGACAACTTCCCTAGATATGCAAATGTGGGTACTCCCAATTCTACACTTTGTGTGTAGTATAGACTTTAGTGACTCCAAAAACTGAGACCTTGAGCATCTGGAGTGGAAGGACTAACAGAAAGAAGTGGCTGAGAACTCATCAGAGGGTCCAAGGACCATTTCCACTTCCTCCTTCTATGAGGGAAGTCAGAAGGCTCCATCTCAAGGGCCTCTTAGGCCATTGCAGCTTCTTTCTTGAGTGGGATGACTGTTAGGCTTAGAGGACAGCATTCCACAGCAGACAAATACACACATTCGCATTTTGCTCATCCATTCAACCATCAAGAGACTCTTAGTTTCTGTATCTTGGCCGTTGTCCATAATGTTGCAATGAAGATGGGTATGCAGTGTTCTCGGACTATCTCTAGACATATTGACTTTGCTATCGCTGGTCTGATGGGAACATACGGAAATTCTATTTCTAGGTTTATGATGGCCACTATGCCATTTTTCATCATGGCCACCATGCTGCTTTCCACGATGCCTGTGCTAATTTACATTTCTATCAACAGTGTGTGGCAGTTCTCCCTTCTCCCAGTTTTGCAAG